AATACTGATAAATGCTGCTGCGTAGTTCTCTTCTGCAGATACAGAAAAAATATCCCAGTGAATATAAATATCCGACTCAATAACCAAGATATTCCTGTTGCCAACTCCTATAAATACTTAGGTGTCTATATTGACAAAACCCTAAATTTCAAAGATCATATTCAATATGTTACAAATAAGGCTAACGCTGCTTTCATTGCTCTCTACTCATTAATTGGAAGAAACTCTAAGTTAAACCTCCGTACCAAGAAAAATATCTACATCTCACTTATTCGACCAATAATCCTCTATGCAGTTCCAGCCTGGGCTACTGCCCGAAAAATAGACAGACAAAAATTAAATGTTCTCAAAACAAAATCTTACGTAGCATAGTGAACGCACCCTGGTTCGTGCGAAATTCTCAAATTCACAAAGACCTGGATATCAATCCAATTCACGACCAAATCCTAATTTCTGCACACAACTTCTTTGAAGATATGAGAAATTCTCCCTATGAAGCTATTAAATCGCTTACAGACTATGACCCTACTATTGAGAACGTAGTGAAAAGACCTCGAACGATCCACCACAATTCTAAGTGGTGGTAGTGTATATAATGTGGGGAAAAAAAAAAAAAAAAATTACTATTCCTTTGCAGTTACTATTCAAGAAAGATGAACTTTGCAAAATTAGGACTTTATTTTTCATCGATGAATTCTTCGTTTTACTACTTATTTAACCAAGATTTTTACTTTTACTTTTTATTTTTATTATTTCGTATCGTGTGTTTTAAAATCAAAGTTCGTGGTAACACCAAGTGCTTACTCTCACTCATTAGCCCTAGTGAGCTACATGACCTCATTTTCGCCTTTTACAGTTTCCTATTCATTTAATGATTATATCGCAAGTTTAGAAGATTTTCAAGTGTTTCAAAAGACATAGGACTCTTAAATTCACAGATAGATGTTGCTTTTACTATGTTCGAACTTTATTTATTTCCAAAAACTACAAAAACTTCATTTTTCGAACTCTGACTCCTCGACCAATCTAAATGCCGGACGCTGATCACGTGTTTCCTGCTCTTCTTGACTCACGCAGAAGCTTAGACTTTCATTTCGCTTCTCGCCACCATTTACGTATATAATCACCCATGTTATGCCATGATATGCAATTTAGCAAATCTTATTTTATGAGTCCTCTCATTTATTGATCTCATTTTCTGGCGTGGTGTATTTTAAATACACCTCTTAAATTTTTAACTTTATGGCCTATGGTAAAATGATAATATACTGGTAAGAGCTCCTAGTAGCTAAAGCCAGCAGTAAAGATATGATCCAAGATCCAAGCTCATTCCTTCTGGTTCCTGTTTCTTTGCTTCTTGGTGTGCCGTTCCAGCCCCCATTGGAAGACGATGTTGCGATGCGTGCCAGCCAGCGACTAGTGCTATGGTTTCAGTCTACAAGATGACTTTTCCTGGATTCTCAAAAGAGGTTATGATGTGAGCGACTGCCATGGCCGGCATCCTGTCTTCATGTAGGCGACATCTTCAGCACAAGTGTTTTTCCCAAATTAGCGGCGATGATTTCCCAAGCTGTGACTTCTCGTGTGTAACTACAGTGAGCGGCGTTTTGCCGGTTAAAGTGCTCTCGAGGATTTAATTTTAATTTTTCAGGTGCCTTTTTGACCACAAAGCATGGACTTATTGAAAGTGTAGCGAATTTCACTAAAAACGCTTAATTTCTGTTTAGTGATATGTTTTTCGCGGGTTGAATGCCAGTATTTGGAGATCAGGTAAAATATTCTTTAATAGTGTAATATTCTTTTAAAGGAAAAACCCTTGGGGTTAATGGTTTATCAACTAAGTGTAATTTTTGATAATGATTATGTTATACTCTTTAAGTTTCTGATATTGATTAAATTTATTCATTGTGTTTTTATTTTTATATATTGTTAATAAATTGGTTAAGTTTAAAAACTTTGGTCTTCAATGTCTGCTCAGTAGCTTAGGGAGCTTCTATTGCTACTTTTGCTAAAAGTTTAATTTCTAAACTTTGCTTTTGCATCAAACACCACAATGACCTTGACAAAGTATGCGAAGGAGGATACTATTTCAGAGAAGTGTGTGGAGAAAGGGGGGGTGTCTAAAGGGGTGAAAGTAATAACTGCTCGGTATTTGCTGGAGTTGTTTGAGTAAAACATTTTTTTTTTTTTTTTTTTTTGTCCTCCGTTTTTGTTTACTTTTTATAGTATGTTTCAGGAATAAAGAAAAACCCATTTATCTTTTTTGAATAATTTTTTGATGAATTGCTTGTGCTTCATATTGTTACTGAAACTAACCGTTTTGTAGACGAGTATATGAAGTAACACCTTGCAAATGAAAAATCAAGAAAAAAATCGTGGCATTCAACCAGTTCAGAAGAAATATATGTTTTTTTAGGCATACTGATTTCACAAGGTATAACACTGAAACCTGATATTACACTTTACTAGTCTAAAATGAATTGATCAAAACTCCATTTTAGGCATCTTTTTTATTATAAAAACACCATTCTTATTATACTTTTCCTCAAAACATTAAATTTTGTGCATTCATTTTTTTCTTTTATTCTTTATTTTGTGAAAGTAAACTGTTTTTAGAAAGTAAAACTTGCACTTATTTTCCCCCTAGTCATCGATAACTATCGTACTGGGGATCGGGCTATCACTGGGAAAAATGGGAAAAATCGTGGCACTGGGAAATGAATCTTGTATGTTTTCCACAGCAGTTTAGGGGTTAACAAAATTAGAATATATAATTTACTTCTTTTCTAGATATTTTAAATTATTATTGTTTAGAGGAGCAATAAAAGTTTCCTTTTCGTCTTCCTGGTTATTCAAGATATCTATTTGAATTATTGAGGCATGAAATAACATAATTATACATTTATGTATGCATACATATGCCATGTAATGCATTGTTCTTAAGATGTAGGACTCTAATTATTTTAATTATAGTTAATGTTTGTTATGTTGGTGATATTAATATATTACGTCTGTGGAAAGAATTTAACCTTTTAACTGTCATGCCCGAGATAATCTCGGGTACAGCACTGGTGTTCGAAAATGTCACGCCCGAGTATTACTCGGGGTAATTTTTTTTTGAGTGCATCGTATTGTTATACCCGAATATATATCGGGAGATGTTTATTTCGGCTTCATCTTTTTGTCAAACCCGACTGTATCTCGGGAAAAATTTGACCATTTGTGTACCCAAATCATCAAAATAACTTGACAGTTAAAGGGTTAACACAGTTGTGCAGCTATAAACTTATTCCAGTTAGTTCATCTTGAAGTATAATCTCTTAATCTCCACCCTTATATTCGCACTCTTAACATTTCACATTTTGCATTGTGAAAAATCTACAATACCTAGAGCCATCAAAGTTTGAATAATGTAGTGCTTCACCCGAACATGGGCACTAGGAAACCCAAATGTTGAATTTTTAGTTTGTTTTACTATCTATTTCAAATTTATTTATTTATTTATTTATTTATTTATTATTATTTTTTTTTTTTTTTTTTGGATTAAGAAACATGGCAATTTCAAAGTGCGCAGTGGAAACACACTATGCAGAATGAAATATTTTTATCTCCAGCATGCAAGATTGTTTATCAGAAATTCTAAAAACATGCTGCTTTTAAATATTTTAAGCCCAAAGTGTCATTAGCCCAAAAGCTCTCGAAAGGTGTCAATGGAAAAAATGGCCCTTTTAAGTGTAATATAAAATTTTAAAATGCTTCTCCCCCCCCCCCCCCCCCCCCCGCATGTGTAGGGTGTATGTTGGGTAGTTGTTGGGATGATCTGATATATTATTAATCATGCTAATCAGTAAGTACACAGATATGCATCTTGAAATAATGCAAACAATTACAATTGTATATATGGGAAGGGGGAAAATCTAAAGCATGAATTGAGAGGGTCATTTGATAATTATAACCAAGAAAATGCTGATTACTTATGCTCTTTCTGGGAACTTCTCCTGCTTGGGGGTTCAAGTTCCTATTCTGAAGTAATGTACTACCGTGTAGTTATAAAATTTTACATTAACAAATAGGGAACATTTTGCTTCAAAAAGAGAAAGTAATTAAATTTTTATTCGCATTTTGAATTTTTGTTCTTAACTTATCCAAAAACATTCTTCTGTTGGTAAATTAGATTTTTTCTTAGACTTCCACATTCATCAAAATGTGTCAACATTAGTTAAGACGACTTAATTCTAATCTTAGAGCTAACAAATTTCAATCTACATCAAAACTTGTAAACTTCATCTTTTATAATAAATATGTATAACTGAATGAATGTTTAGTAATTGGTAAAATTCAGTCTAAATTTGGCATTTATTTCTAAGAGGTTCAGCATATTTCATGGAAATGCATAAATTGTTCTGTAGGAATATGGTAGCGGCTGAGTTGTAAGTCACTAAACACTGGTAACCTGAGCTAAATCCTGACGAACAGGTTAGTCGCATGAGAGTTTTCATAGTTTTTCCATGTGTAATGTGTGTATGAACCAGTTATCCATAGAATGTCTTCCATGAAGGCATTCCTGCCCTTATACAAGGTATGCCTAGTGTGCTTACTTATAAGTAAAATAGCAAAAAGAAAGCCTAATTATTCACATTGCTATCATAAATAAACTATGTTTAATTTATTTAGAATGAATTCATGTTCTCATATTTTAAAATGCTTTAGTTGCTTTATTTATAAGAAGATATCCTAGAATAGAAAATTCATTCTTATTCTAAAATATATAAATATTTTAAAATTTTAATGGAATGTTAGTAAACTTTTATATTTAAAATTATATTTCTCATGTTTTAATTACTGTTTTATGCTTTCTCTTAAAAAAAATATTGTGCTTACTTTTTTCCTCCCCTTCCTTCCATGTGAGAATTTTAAATATATTTATGTTCATTTGAAGCATGTGAACTTGTTGATTGTTCAAATGTTAGAACTTGAAAAATGCTTTTGAATATTTCAAGGTCCATGAGATGATTCTTGCCAAAGATAACTATACAAGAGTTGACATTTTAGATTATTGGCAAAGAGAAGGAGGAGTGCTTATAATTAGTTATGATATTTTTCGGAATTTGGTTTCTGGAAAGGGCAGGTTGCGTTCAAAAGAAAGGAAAAGAGTTCAAGAATTGTTGCTTGAAAAAGGTAAGAGATCGATTTTTTTAATTTTATTTGCGGTAAGACAATAAACCAGATATAATAGTTGGTCGTAGAATTTTTTTAAAATTTGTAGTGATGTGTGTATATTAATCTGAACATATTTTAAAATTTTCACTCTGGTTTACGCCATTTCATAGATGCAATAGTTCTTCATGTTGTTTTGCTATTTGTCCTAATTTTGTTGTAACAACCATAAATTAAATCATTTTGATTTCTTTTGTTAAATCAGATCTTTTATAATAGTGTTATTTTTTTTTTAATGGAATGAAATTGCAGAAAGAATTGTAATCAATTGCAGGAAAAGATATTTACACTTTTATGTGCAGTAAATGTTGAGATTTTTGAGAATAAATGAGAAAACGCTTTTATGTGCAGTAAATGTTGAGATTTTTGAGAATAAATGAGAAAACGCTTTTATGTGCAGTAAATGTTGAAATGAGCAAGTAAGATATTTACGCTTTTATGTGCAGTAAATGTTGAAACTGTTAATAGTATTCTTAAAATGTATTAGAAAGTGGTGTAAAACTGCTTGACAGAATTCTTGGCAATGGCATTGACTTGAAAATTAAATCAAAAGAAAATTCTTAGATTATCAATTTTGATCTTCGAAAGAAAAAATTACTGGTTCATTCTGGATGTTAGAGATGCAAATGCTCTTAATGTAAGTAAGAGACTTCTGATTTTCTTCTGTACTTAATACCATCCTGTATTGCATCACCTTGCTCTTATTTTGAAAGTTTGTACAATTTTTATATAGAAATTTTGAAATTATTTTGAAAGTTTTGTTGATTTGAATTATGTTCAAATCACGTTTGTGATTTGAATTATGTGTGAAGTTGCTTGTTATTTGAAATTTTGAAATTATTTTGAAAGTTTGTATAATTTTTATGTTATATTTGGTAATTTTTGCATTTTAAATTACTTGTCATTTCTTTAGATTACTTATGAAAGAAAACCAAGGCCTTTCCATATCATGTGGAATATGGTTTTGGGAGGGAAACAGAAAATTTAGTAAATATAATGCCATATTTATTTGCACATCCTCCTTTTCCTGTTAATTTTACAGGCGTGAGAGTTTTCCACGTTTTCGCAGAATTCCGCTATTTTGAACGTCACCAGGGCTGTTTCTGAGATCAATGCAGAACCGTTGAGAAATCGCAACTGGCAAATGTGTATGTGTGGAGGGGGGCATACTCTCTCTCTTTCACTTTTCTTTGTTTACACTTATTTTCGGAGGATGTCTTATTTTACAAAAGGTTCCAAAAATCATGATAGGGCTTATTTTCGGAGGATGTCTCATTTTCAGAAAAAGACTGTATCTGTGGAAGACTTTGCCATTGAACAACCCATTATTAAAAAGCATATCAGGAATTGATCCTACAGCCAGAGGTCCCCATAGTACCTTACTTAAATTAAAAAGATTGCCTGAATTAATCCAAAATGTTTTGACACAAGAAGACAAAATTTCATATAATTTAGAAGTGCATAAATACCAAATTGATAAAAAATTAGCTTTAAAATTAGATATAGATGGAAAAATAATGAGACTTGATGAGTGGTGGGCCAAAGTATTTGCAGATGGCAGTTATCCAGCTTTATCCAAAATGGTAAGAGCTATTTTAAGTTGTTTCCATGGGCCACAAGTTGAGAGTGCTTTTAGTTCTATGAGCAGTGTATTAGACAAGGAGTTGTGGTCTGCATGAGTATAGACACATTGTCTGCTATACAAACAGTAAAATACAAATTTTTGAGTTGCAATAAGTCAGCTCTGGAATTTTTTAAAAGGGATGACCACTTGCATTCTCCAGTACACAAAACTCTATGTAAAAATTTAAGGAATGCTCATAAACTGTACAAAGAAGAGCTAGAGATAAAAAAGGAGGAGCAAGAATCTAAAAAAAAAAAGCAATTAAACATTGCAGAAAATAAAGAAGAAAATAAAAAAGTATCAATGGATTGTATAAAAGCTGCTGAAAAGAAATTGAGACTAGCTCGCAAATGGAAATTAGAAAAGTTGGCTGCAAAAGTAGCAAAAAAGAAAAAGCTTTTTCCCTAAAAATTTTTAATCAGGATCGAGTGAGAATGAAACGAAATAGTTATTTTTTATATTCCTCCTTTAACTATGGGTTATTTTGTAACTATATTATCTCATATAACTACTTTTTCTGGTGTTATATAAAGTACCGTTTATTGAACTAAAAGTGAAGATAATTGAAAGCTATAGTAACAGTTTTATATATATATATAAAACCTGTCATTGCCTGAAAATGGGCAGTAATATATAACATAAGTATGTATATTAGTGTGTTTTAATGTTGTGTTCAGTATTATTCATGTATCAGTTGTTAAATTAAGTTACATAAAGAGCATCTTAAAGAAGGTTAATTCATTACATTCTCTTGGTGATTTACTGAGTGGAAGATAAAATTAATAGCAAAATAGTAAGTACAAGTATTATTTTACAGGGTTGCCACGCTACCTGGAGAACCGGGAAAAGTCAGGGAATTCGAAAATTGACCAAAATATTCAGGGAAAAGTCAGGGAATTTAAGTATTTTTGTCAAAATCTGGAAAAGTCAGGGAAGTTCATACAACGATTCCGCCAAAAAAAGCGATTTTTGCGCCGACGTCGGAAGAGATAACTTTTTTGGCGAATTATGTATCACGTGAGTGTCATTCGGTAGCTGGCATAGAGCCAATTTTCGCAGCTCCAATTTGATTGTCTTTTAGAAAGGCAAAGCAACTTTCCCCGCAACTTTTGGTTTCCAGTATTCTCGAGAATCGCATGTGCAGTGCATGAACTAAAAGTACCTGTTCTCGTATAAAACAAAATGGGTTTAATCCTAGTATACGGTACCATGGAGGTTAGAATCAAAGAATATGTATTGTAAAGAAGGAAAACCTCTCTGCAACAGACGTGGCTCCGTTCCATCATAGAGGGAAACAGCTGTGCATGTCTGATATATCTGTTGCCAAAGCTCGAAACCGATGTCGAAGTTCGAAGGTCACGTTATCAAGAGTTCATAAAATGAATATCGTTTAAAATTTCTTTAACGACTTGCGCTAAAAAGACGTGCCACGCACGTCGAGATGCTTTTGTCTCAAACCGTGAGCGACGTGAACACCACGTCGATAAGCATTTATCGCAAAAATGAAAAATAACGTGGGTGCACACGTCGCCTAACAACGAGATTGTTTATTTCTCGAGTTACAAGCTCTGGATTGCACTCGCAGATGCGGAGCGGCGTAAATGAGACACTTTAACGCTTGTTATATTGTAGCGCACGGCACCGCAACCTTGAAGTTTAGTCTTAGCGCAAGTGGTTAAACTCTAAAGGAAAAGAAAATATTTTTGGCGCAAGTAAATTAATTCATGATTAGTTATTTTCAGGGGAAAAAAAAAACTACGAAAATCCGTTTTTAATTTTCGCAATAATTTTAAAAACGGATTTTCGTAGTTTTCTTTTTGTCAAAGAGCGTTTCTTCTTAACACGTGTTTTTCAATTTCCTGTACACATCGCGGAGAGGGAAATTCTGGCCGTCAGGTTCCGTCGCCAAATCCCTTGGCAAATTTTTCCTCCGCATTCTACGGCGTAATGCATTTTACTTGTATGGAACCTTTCTTCTTTACATAGACGTTCTTTGGTTAGAATAATAATGAGATTTGGCGACATCATGATGCGCATAACGGGTCATTTTGGTCTTGGCGAGAATTTTCAAAATCGTGCCAAAGCCTTACCGTATACTAGAATTTTAACCGCAAAATCTTTTTAAAAACCTTTTTTTTTTTTTTTTTTTTTTTTTATAAATACCTTGCCATTTTGCAGTAAAATAAAAAATAGTAATCAGTCGTCATCTAGGCTAGCCATGTAATACAGTCAAAAGTCGTTAATTCGGACACCCATAATCCGGACCTCAAAGCTACAAACTTTCTGCGCAAGCGTCGTGTTCACGCATGCGCACAGGCTTTTACGAGAGCGCGTAAGACCCTTACGGCTGCGAATATGTTTGTGCGCATGCGCGTTTAATGTGTAACGGAGTTATACGCTAAGCTAAAGTTATCTAATTCAGTTAATGTTGCAGATTGCGTTGTTCCTTAATCTTTGAAATGGATCCGGCTTATTATTTTTTGCAGACTGTTAGAGCAATTTTATAAAAGTAAGCTTGAACTTTCGATTATGTCAAATAGAATTTCCGATATATATTTACTACAAAGCGAAAGTATGTTTTGAAATCCGAAATCTGTTTATATCAATTTCACGCTGCTCTGCGGCAGAGGGGGGGGGTCAGAAACGTCATTATTAGATTATGATAGATTAGAAAGATTATGTCAAATAGAATTTCCGATATATATTTACTAATATGTAATTTGTATCTACAAAGCGAAAGTATGTTTTGAAATCCGAAATCTGTTTATCAATTTCACGCCGCGGATTGGAAGTTGATATGTCAGCACTATCCTTATCTTCAGGGCAGATGTTTTTATTTTATTTGGTTTATAATTTCGTACTAAGTGTAGTATTTCATTTCGATGTACTCCGTCTTTGATATGATTTAAATCAAGTTCCTCGTCATTATAATTCGCTTCCGATAGTGAAGAAAGTGACCCAGAGGTTATTGAAAACGAAAACATTTCGATTGACAAATTAGTCGGTATTCTCAACACAGCAATTACAGGACTTGAACAGCGGAACTTTGTAATTAAACAAGAAATTATGTCTGTTTAATAGAATTAAAAGAGAAAGTATTATCACATGAAACGAAGCAACTTGCATTGAAAGAAATGTTTAATAAAGTAAACAAATAAATATTAAGCTTTTTTTTCTTTTTGTAAATTTTGATACCCTTTAGATCATAATTGTTTCTTTATTTCATAAATTACGGTTTCATATTTTTAATTTTTGTAATTTCTGCATGCCATCTTACCAGATTTAAAACTGATGATCTATAATCCGGAATCGCCGAAGTCCCGACGAGTCCGGATTA